CTACGGGGAACAATCATACTACAAGCTTAATGTAACAAAAACACAAGCAATGGGGATCGGGATAACACGCAACACCATAGCAAATTTAAAAAACTCATTCCCACTAGACTGGAGAGATGACTACCTTACTTTCTTAGGACTGAAGATCCCAAAGGACCCCGAGAGACTCTTTCACCTAAACTATGGGAGGTTAATAGACGAATTTAATGCCACCTTAAAGAATTGGGATAGCAAGTTCATGTCCTGGGTAGGAAGATTGGCGGCGGTGAAGATGATGCTGCTGCCGAAATTCCAATACCTAACTAGAACGCTACAGATCCATATTCCTAACACGTACTTGAAACGCCTACAAAGATCTCTCACTAGTTTTGTGTGGGCATACAAGAAAGTTAGAGTGGCTACCCGCATACTTTCCAAACCCCTAGCGCAGGGAGGGCTAGGCCTACCTGAGGTGACAACATATTATAGGGCTGCACTGATGACCACCGCACTGCAGGCGCACACAGCCCATAACCCACCACAGTGGGTGGAGATGGAATCAACGTGGGCTTGCCCCAAGGGTCTTAGCTACTTATTCTGGGTCCCTCACGAACACCGCCTTATAGCCCCAGACACACCCGCTACCACAACAACCCTACTACGTAATTGGGATACGATCAAACCACAGTTAGGTTACACAGATAAATGGGCGCTGACCACTCCAATATACTGCATACACTTGGCAAACCCCACATTTGACCATCGCATATGGGCTGAGCGAGGATGCACGCTAGTTAGACACCTCTATAATCAAGGGAAACTGAGACAATTCCCTGACTTACAACACAGTTACGACCTACCGCAAAGAGCAATATTTTCCTATCTGCAACTAAAAGGAATACTGACGGACTCCACTGCCCTGACAACCCAGACATATGCGCAACATATAGAGAAAGCGTGCGAATCTAGGACAATGCCCAAGAAACCGCTCTCCCTTATGTATGCAATACTCAATAACCCAACTCAACAGACGCCACCACAGCTAGACAAATTCAAAGAGGCATGGCATAGGGACTTAAATACAATTTTCTCAGAAGAACAATGGAACCAGGCTTTTATAGCCCATAAAGGCAGATCCAGATGAGCATCCCACCTAGAGCTAATGCGCAAGATCCAATATAGGTGGTATTTAGTGCCAACCAGACTGGCAACCATATACCCCAACACCTCGCGGCTCTGCTGGAGATGTTTACAAGAGGAGGGCACAATGTTCCACATCTGGTGGACATGCGCGACCATCAGGGGATACTGGAAGACAGTTGAAGGGATGCTAAAAGGGGCATTGGACACAGGAACCAATCTGAAACCAGAAACTGCTCTACTTTTCATATCCCTTGACCCACTCCCAAAAGCACATGCCGGCCTAACATACCACATACTGATAGCTGCCAACCTATTAATAGCCAGAGGGTGGAAACAACCAAAGCCACCAGAGAGATCTAGCCTTATCCAACAGATCTCCCTAAACCTAACATATGAAACGAAGACTAGCCAGCTGATGCTCCCATCACACCACATAAGGGACGCCAGGAAAATATGGGAGGCATACCTGAGGAAGGTTGAGGAGGGGGAGGGGTTTGAACACTAACGAGAGAGGAGGAAAAAAAAAACAAAAAAAAAACTGTATCCATATACCCAAGAAGAATAAAGAGTACCACGCATACTACCTAACTGCTCAGGCGCAGAGAGGCCACAAATCCTACCACCAAGGTATGAAAACAGGCATTGAGGTAAACTCAGCTGAGGACAAATAATTCAATAGGCACATGCGGAACAACCACCCACACTGTACATAGTTACCCAGGGGACAAGAGGCAGGAGCCAAGCAAAGTATGATAACCTAGGCGGAGACATGGGGTGATACGGTGCTCTTGCGGCCCGCTTCCCCATCTCTTCTCCCACTGCCCGAACCCCTGTTTCCCCCATCCCCCTTCCCCTACCCCACATTCAACGCACGGTTATGAGGGTCAGACAAGCCGGACAAGGTACATGACCATGGTCACAAGGGTGTGGGAGGTACTCCCACAAAGTTGAATATCCAGCCTTGCTCCCGAATGTATAAGATGTGTCTTGAAGCATTGTACCTCAACTGCATACCTTCCCCTCTTTCCTTTCTGTACCCCAACATGTTCTCTGATAAAATAAAAATTGTCAAATTGAAAAAAAAAGAATAGGCCCTAGGCCAAGGAAACCAGTTCTATGAACTCGAAGTCTGAAAGCGTGGCATCTATGCGAATACCACCAATCTTCGTTCAGTACCGCGACCTATTAGCGTTGCCTATTATGCATATAGAAAGTAAGGACTATTCTCTAATGACAGACGAAACCAGGGAAGAGTTTTGCGAAAGGACTTCATACGCCAGAGGCAGGATAAGTGCCAGGGTTTGAGAACGTCTGATAGCTTGACCTGCACCTGCCCCAGGCCCTGATCAGTACCCCAGAAAAAGGTCGCATCCTGACTTTGCAAAGTCTGTGTCTGTCCTGATATCGAGGAATCTGAGGTCATTGTGGCCTATTCGGGCAGTGATGGACTGAGGTACACAGCTGGTCATCCTTCATGCGCTTCTTGATTTTGTGATCTATGAGTCCCCCAACGGCCTTGTGGGCAGGGGCCAGCTTTCGATGACCTGAGGTGTCGAACAGAATGCGTATCGAAGAGGGTTATCCCTATCGAATCCACACAGCTGTCGTTGTCGGTAACTGAATTAGGTGGGTGAGTGGAGGATAACATTCAGGGAGGCCTCCGTGAGTGATTCATGTACAGAGGGCGAGGTGCCCACAACCAAATCTTGCTCCCTATCTTCGTCTTTGGAGGTTTTAGCGGTCCACCCGCCATCCATCCCCAAAATTGGTCACGTCCAGGGGACTTAGTACTGGCCCAGGGGCCCCTGGTCATTTCTCGTGCCTAGCTCGTACCATGTACTTTCAGATCTGAGGTTGTGGGACTACCCCCTTCCAGTAGAACTTGCTAGATGGTGCAAGTCTGCTTTGAAGGCATCAGAATCTCCTGCTCCCTCCGGTGGGAGAAACTACCCGTAGAGGTTGTCAGTAATGGGATAAACAAAAATAACAACATTGTGAGATTGCCTGCTCAATACAATCCCAGTTATGAAAATAGTATATATCTGTAATAACTGGGGCTCACCCAGTATGAGTAACAAACCTCCAGGAATCGATCCAGTACAAAGCGGGCCAAACATATTAGCTGTAGCAGAGACAGCCAGATCAAACAGCCCATACTCTGCCTGATAAGGTACTAGGGAAGTGAGAATTTGGTAGGAGGTTCTCCCCCCATAATACCTAAGTGGGTATAAGCTTGTAAGGAGGTATAGTGCCCTGAGTAACATCGGTCCATCATATGACCTGTAACGGGAACAGCCAAATCAAGCAGGTAGATCAGCTGAAAAATGTAACGTAGGGATTCCTTCCAACTTCCAAGCTGATCTGTTGCAACGTCACTGGGAGGCTCCGGTGATGAAGGCAGTGATACTTACTGTACGAACTGTTACATCAGTGGGAAAACTACAGTATGTAGTATTGATATCAATAATGGGCTGAGTTCATGAAGGGCTACACCTTCTAATAGGCAATCAGATCCTGTTCTGGTAAGAACCTTGTAGCGGAACAGACCTCGCCATGTGTTCTTGGAGGGGGCTGCTTGCCCGCCTCCTACCTTCTGACTATGGCCCTGGGATATATGGCATTTGAAAACACTATTTGTGCCCTGTGACAAAACTGGAGATTGTGCACAAATATGACTATTGTCCATATTTTTTATGATTCCCTTCGTTTGTTGCACTGTTCCCCATGTGTTTCATCTGTTGGTTCGGCTGGATAGACTACCAGACAAACTGTGGAGTTACTGGGTGGCCACCATTTCATGTATCAGAGGCACATGGTGAGAACAATAGATGAAGCACATGGTGAGAACAATGGATGGCGGCCATTTTAACTCACAGACACTGTTTTGACTTTTCTACACGGTGCCATCTCGCAGGTATTTGGTGCACAAAGACATGGTTCAGTAGTTTTATACTACAGAACAGGGGACACATTTAACAGTAATTATTTTTCATATAGCCTGTATATGTTCTGCGGAACCTGCATTAAACCGTATCTTCCAAACTACTGAACTGATCTGGGTGTCAGGATTACTAGTTGATCCAGCACGTAGAATTGTGTCACACAGATGACTAATAGGTAATGTATTACCGGGCCTTAGAATGGCCGGACTTAACGTACCAAAGAGTAGTCAGGATACTTGCCGAGGTCAGGGTATACAGAAAGAGACACAACGATAAGGGAATGCCAGAAGTCAGGGATACCAGAATACAGGGAAGTCAAAATCAAAGCCAAAGTCAAAAACCAGAAGAAACTTGAATCAGGAACGCGCTCTCGGACAACCACTAGGGAAACCACGACAGGGCACTGAGCAGGATGAGAATTGGGCCTAATTACCCCTCCTCTAGATCTGATAGGCTGTAACCGGCCTTTGACCCCAAAGGCAGTTACCAGGATCTCATTTGCATAATTGCTGCTCAGCATTAACACTTCTGTGGATTTGGTTGCTGCTCGGCACAACTTTTCCTGTGTACAATGCCATTAACCACATTTTTATAAACGGATGAATACATGACACTGGGTGAATTTTGGATATGTGGTTCACCCAGATCCCCAGTCCGAGGATGTAACGGACCGTTTCGCTCACAAGGGGATAAAAACCGTTTAAGCGATAATCCCCTTTTCCATAGACCAGCAGCTACTGCAATCACCAACCTCTCGAACTCCAAACTACACGAAATCACCAACTCCCGAACAAGAAATACACGAACCCTGGAAGCAGCCGAACAGGAAAAGCAATACGAACAGCTTACACTCCTGGCAATCGGCATACAGTCAAATTCCCCCCCAAGAATGAGACGACACTTCACTTTGAGGGTTAAAACAGGAACTCCTGATTTATTCACACAACAGGCTTATAAAGGATTCTCCCATGCAAGGGAGGGATTTACAGTATACCAATAGCATAATGGTTACAACCCACAGATTCCCTCCCCTCAGATAACCAGTTAACATAATTAACATGTACATAGTTTTCCCCGAGTTTTGGATGTACCCCAAATACTTGGGGTACATCCACAAATCCAGTATCTCAAGATAGCCCTAGTCTGGAGGAACAACATATGTGAAAATCAGCCCATTCGGATAAAGGGTTCGGGAGTTATGGGACTTTAAAGTTTTGACCGACCGCATGGCAAAAGTATCCGAAAATAGTTCCATGTATTTTGGCCCTGCGGTCGGTCACAGAAAAGTGAACAAAACACACGAATGGCCTGGGTTATAGAGCTTCGGGAGGATTCGTATGAATGTGCTTGTTCGTGTGATCCTTTCTAAGTTTCTGCACGAATTGCTGGAAGTCTGGAGGTCTCAGCGGTGCTTGCTTAGTCGAGTGTCCGATTTTAGTTCCAGACACTCGACGGCAAAACACCGCTGTTCGGGAGTTTAAGATGGCCGCCGCCACGTGTTCGTTTCCCGAATGGCGGCCACCCAGAGGACACATAACACATTACATAGATTGCCAATTACCCGTTTGCAACACTTACTCCAGGGTGGTCTGGTTGTTCGGTAGTTTCACTCAGTATAATGAATGGAGTGATTCTACCGAACAATCAGGGGAATGCTGCATATACATAACACTGTTTACCGAACACATAATATTAAATACAGCCTGAATGCAATCTGCTACACAGTCTTAAAGGGCATTATTCCTAACAGTCATAATCTGTCCACAGATGGCCCTTAAAGGGCCAGTAGCAGCAATATAAAATACCACATGCCCAAATATTGCATTCAAAAGTACAAATTCACAAGGGGCCATAGTCAGCAGGTAGGAGGCAAGCAACCAGGCTTCTCCAGTGTACAGTGGCAAGGTTGGTTTCGCCACAGAGGATATATTTTTTATGGGGTTATTGCATGTTTTGGGGTCCCTGTGATATGTTTTATAATACTGTATTTTCCTGAGGAGGATTTCTGATGTAATGAATGGGAGTGTTAGCTGTGTTGTAATGAGTTGATTGGTTGTGCTTCAAAACCCTGTGGGCAGTACTATGTTTGTAGAATGTGAATAAAAGAGGCTGTAAGTGCCAGTACAGACAGTTCTTCTTGACCCTCAACACATAGTCTTGTCTCGTGATTGGAAGGGACAGCTATACTCACACTGGGGATTGCTATGCTCTGCATACTCCCCTGAGCTTTAATCACTTAGCTCTTTTAAGAGCGTGTTCCTGATACGCTCTCCTGGAGGAGAGGTCTTCCCCACACGGTCCTGGAGGACAGAAGCTGATCCAGGGTGGACAGAAGACGGCGAGACTCCAGTTAAGCTATGGCGGTTGTGGAGTCTGTGGTGGTTGTGGTGTCCGGTGCGGTGCTTGTGGTCCTCGGCGCAAGCTAGGAAGCGTCCATCAACAGAAGGTACTCGGTCGGAGTACGGGGAGTTCCGTTACAAACCTGTTGGACATAGGAAGGAGGTGGTCTCGCCCTTCAATAAGGGAATCAGTATCCTGTACTTCAGTAAACCATAACGTAAGCAGTAAACTGACAGAAAACAGAATAAATATACATATTTGGCTGTGCGTATGAGAGGGGGTCAACCTTTAGTACCGTAATTTGTAACAAGTCAGCATCGTGCCGAGTTATGAGAGGGTCTCACCCCCTAATGGAGAAATTAGTATCGATATCTGCAGCGGGCTGCATTTATGAGAGGGCCGCACCCTCTAATAATGTAATTAGTATCGATATCCGCAGCGGGCTGCATTTATGAGAGGGCCGCAAGCTCTAATAATGTAATTAGTATCGATATCCGCAGTGGGCTGCATTTATGAGAGGGCCTCACCGTCTAATAATGTAATCGATATCCGTATCGGTGTCCAGCTGATTTTATGGGAGGGCTCACCCTCTAATAATGTAGCTAGTATCAATACCAGTGTTGCGTTGAGTTTTGAGAGAGGCTCACCCTCTATTAGAGAAATAGTAACAATATCAGTAGTGGGTTGAGTATACGAGAGGGCAGCACCCTTTAATAATGTAATAAGTAGCCCTATCAGCATCCGGTTGAGTTTAGGGGAGGGCCGCACAATCTAAATAATGTAATTAGGATCCATATCAACACCAGGCTGAGTAAATGAGGGTGCTGGATGGTCTGCGGGTCAAAGAGAGGCCCGCCCTTAGCATCCAGGAACACCTCCTCATCCAGCAGAGAGGTGGACGCCATTTATGAAGGAGGGACCCTCGGGGTCTCTGGGCCACATTGAGTCATCAATCTTGTCCTCGCCCCACCTGTCGTCATCTTCCGAGGATGACTGGTCTGCCCATTCGTCTATGATGGATAGGTGTGGGCAAGTCTGTGACCACTTGTCTCGTGCGCTTCACTGGAGCCTTGCCCTTCTGGGCACGTGGCTCAGGGCCTTCATCCTTCCAATAGTGCTAGGTGCTCTTGCCTGTTCTCTCCTGGGAGAGTCTGACTCTGCTGAGTCTTCTGCCATGTGGGGGGTCCCCATCGTGCCCTTATTCTGTGGCACTTGTGGGAGGGCCCTAGCCAGGGCTTTTTTCCAGCGAGGCAGCCACTGCTGCATTAATGGTGGCTTGTAAGCTTAGTTCTGAGTTGGTGGCAATCCCACAGCCACCCACTAAGAGCAGGAGGCAGTGGTACTCTGACATGTACTGATGTGGATCAGCAAAGAAAGAGAAAGTTATGTGTGGGGAGGGGAGTTTTATTGTTCCTAACTTTTTTCTGATTGGTTGATTTTTCTCTGTGTTAATGTGCTGCTGTGGAGTTCTAGTAAAAAGAGACAAGCAAATATGTCATATTCTAAAGTTTGTGCTTGGATAGCACTTGATAGTCTGATCAGACAGAATTTATTTTCCTTTTTTTCTTTTTTGTGTGTCAAAGCAGAAATAGATGAAAAAAATGAAAAAAATGAGGCAGCACGAGACAGGATACGGTGACCGGACATCACCACTCATCTAAAAAGCTGCACTTCTGTATTTAAGAATACAGAGAACCTCATTCACATACACCCATTCACATATTTATTGACTCTGCTCCGCACCCTATATTTACAGCCACAGTGGTTGATGGTGAGATCCAACCAATTTTTCCTTCACAAAGCTGCTCAAGAGAAACTTTTTTCTTAGATAGTTTTTTCAATTTTTAACTTTTATCTATTTTTTCAATTTTACATATTTTTTTTTACTCTTTCACCCTTTTCTTCCAATTTTTTCATTTCCCCCCCCGGTTTTTATTTCATCTATTTCTGCTTTGACACACAAAAAATACAAAAATTAAAAAATGTTCTTTCTGATCAGATGATCAAGTGCTATTCAAGCACAAATTATTGATCAACTATTGGTGGATCCACCGGACTGTATATGAACTACCATTTATCATTACTCATCAAATTATATTTATAGGATGTATATAGAATATGTTGTACATATTTTGTGTGTATATATTATGAATTTTTTCTTTACTATTGGATAGTCAATGAATTAACAGAGTGTGCACCATTCTGTATATTTGGTAATAGTAGCCTTCTTTTTTTGATTTTTTTTCTTCTTTTCTGTTTTCTATTAGTGTATAATAAATACATATTTTGTGTATAATAAATAAATTTTTGCATTTGACATTTTCTTTTTGATGATACATATATATGATTGATTGAGTGCGGTATTAAAAGTGATTTATTTGTATATCTTATGAGGTCTTATTAGGGGTTACCGCTAATACCTGCACCACCTTGTAGTAGAGTGCCAACACAATAATTATAATTGATAATTATATCCATACCTGGGTTCCGCACACCTTTGTTCCAAGATGAGGAATCGAGGCCCGGGTAGGAACCTGACTAGAGATGGAGTTGGGGGGCAAGATTGGCTCTATATTATGTTCTATGTTTTACTCAATGTTACGCTAATTTTCTCATTATGTTACTTGCTTTCCTTTTTCCAATTCATTTTATACAAAAGAAAAAATCCTGGCTAAGAAGGGCTCTATACCAGGCACTACAGTGCAACGTTTAACTCTACTATGATCACCAGCTTGCTATGGTGAAACTGTTACAACCCCTCTCTTGTTGCCCCCTTTGGTTAGGAATATCCATCACTGCTATGCCCACTTGTTCGATATCAGGAAGGTTAAATTATCCGCTACCCTAAAATTATCTCAGCCCTTATTCTCTTGTTTAAACTTGGCCACTGGTTAGAATTGTTACACTACTCATTTTACACTAAATTTAAAAAAGTGATAGAACTCATAGCTTCTACACTTTTCTTTACATATAATATGTTACTCATTGTGCTTTTATTGAAACACTGTATTGTCTATCAACTGCTATAAAAATAAAATAAGAAAGGAGAAATCCTATAAAATATGTTTGCCTAGTACGTATGGCATATAAAATAATAGCAGCTATCTGTAGGAATATTATAATATAAGAATATTTTTGCGGCAATGTTTTAAAAGTGGAGCAGTTACCATGGAAACTAATTCAATGTTCTAATGATTGCTCCCCTTTGATCATCTCCTAGTAGAATTACAATAAATGCATAAGCCTCATTGTTTTATGTTCATTATATTTAACTATATAACATTTCAGTACATATGTATTACTCTTCTTGTAACCAATGTTGCAAAATTTAAAGTTCTTAGCAGAAGCACACAAAATGGTATATGATGCCGTGGAAAATAGGTAATTTTCAGGGGAGTACCTTAAGGACTCATTCTTTTAAACCTCTTGAAAATAATTGTAGTGGTAACCGAATGGCTAACTTAATTATTCAGTTAAATCAGTAATGCATAAATTCTGGAAAAGTCTCTTTAATGTTGGGGTGAAAAATCAGTTAACTAGTGAAGAGGACACTTCATAAATGAACATTAGATTAAAATGTGTCTTTCCACATTTGGGAGTGTGGTATAGTTTATCGTTAATTTAGAATTGCATGTGACTCATTCAGAGGTAACATCTATCAGCTTAATCCTAGGATGTGGCAACTGGTATATATGAATTAACTATTGTTTCAGTAAAAGGTTGTAAAACATAATTTTTAATCTTGGTTCTTAAGGTTTGTGAAGAGTGACTAGACATTACTGCGCAGACTTCATTGAAAAAGGCAAGAATTTAGACCACTGTGTTTTGTAGAAATGCAGGTACATTGTTAAATAAAACCATTCTTCAAAATAGAGATATTTTTAACATTAAAATATAGGGAGTAATTATGAGTCTCAATAAATGAAAATCGCTACCACCTTGGATTACAGGAAAATTTCATCTTAAACCATGAAGTCACTTTTAACAGAGGTGTACATAGGTCACCTGACACTCTATGTTCTCTAATATTAAGAATAATTCTTTTGATGCAAGTGCTACACACAATAATTAAATTAATTCCCACTTTCTTCTCAGGTGTTCCGCAAAAGAGAATGCAATGTAAAGACTGAATTGAGACTTAAATGTACTTTTTTTTATTCAAGGTGTGTTCCATCCATCTTCTGAGTGCCTAGGTATGTCAGGGGTCGGCTGTAGGCCCCCTAAAACAGGGTAAAATGACATTAAAAATATCTAGATTCACATTATGTGCATTATTTTATAAAATAATAATTTCAGCTAATTTTACATATTGACATAGTTGCCTAAATGTTCAAACTCAATTATAAGACTAACATGACAAACTGTACAGTAAATAAACTTAAACTTCTTAATAAACTTGAAGGATGGAAATTCTGGTAAAATAGCATGCATTTTTTAGATAAACCATCTTGATATCCTAATCTACAACTTTCTACCTCTTAGTAAATATATCCTTTTATAAATAAAATTTTTTCTTTAATGGTACTTTATAAAGTTATAAATGTCTTTTTTTCCCCATTTGTAGCTAAAACTGA